AATATTCCAGGCCAATAACATCTTGAACGAACAGCAGAAAATGTGCGCTCTATCCCTTGATGGCCCAAGTTGTCATGACAACTGAATAACACTTTTTCACGTAATGATCTGGGAAGAATAAGTTGTTTTAAATCTCCTAATGTAGGATCTGTTACCACTCTGTAAAGAATTCCTTTCACAACTACAATTTTATCCCACTGTCTTACTAATGTAATCACAGATCTTGGTAATTTTCTGATTTCTGTTTTCGTTGGTTTAGATCCTTTATTGAAAATCTTCAGAAATGTTGCTAAGTTTGAATCAGCTGACTGAAGAGACTGTATTTCATCTGGTTTAAGAGATGGAAAAGTGTCGTAAACTTCATTCACAATTACACTTGAGGTACTTTGTTTCTGTAGATCCGAGGGTAGTTTCGTAGAATCGGAGAACTTCTCTAGTAGAATCTCTAAATCACTTTGCCGCGATGAATCATCAGGATCACTGATACGTGAAAGAGCATCTGCGTTTTCGTTATGGCGGCCTGGTCGGAATTTCACATCAAAGTTAAACATAGCCAACTTTGAAATCCAGCGTTGTTCAATTGCACTGAGTTTTGATGTGTTAAGATGACACAACGGGTTGTTATCAGTGAACACTGTGAATTTTGATCCCAATAAGTAATCTTTGCCCAGGTTAATGATAGTAATTCCAGTTTTCGAGAACTATAATTTTGCATGTTCCTTTCACTTGGTCTCAAGGATCTGCTAGCATAGGCGATGACATGTTGTTTTCCGTCTTTGATTTGCGATAGAATGGCTCCTAATCCTAACATACTAGCGTCTGTTTCAAGAATAAACGGCTTTTGGAAATCTGCATAAGCTAAGATAGGAGAACTCACAAGAAGCTTTTTCAATGTTGTAAACGCATCGTCACACTGAGAATTCCATTTATTTCCAAACGGTTTCCTTGGATAAGGTGTAAACTGCTGGGACAACTTGTGTAATGGCGATGCTATATTACTAAATCCTTTCACAAAACGTCTATAGTACCCCGCTAATCCAAGAAATGACTTAAGTTTTTTCACAGTTGTCGGTTTTTCAAAATTTTGTACGGCACTTATTTTTTCTGGGTCAGTTTTGATTCCCTCGGAGGATATGACATGTCCGAGATAACGAACTTCACTTTGAAAAAAATTGCACTTTGACATTTTCAACTTTAATCCATGTTTCCGGATGATTCTAATCACTGTCTCTAATCGCTTCAAATGTTCTGGAATGTCTTCTGAATAAACGATAATATCATCCAAAAACACAAGTAAAATGTTAAATATCTCATCCCTGAAGCAGTGTTGCATTAACCTCTGAAACGTCGCAGGGGCGTTGCACAAACCAAACGGCATACGAAGATATTCATACAGACCCATTGGCGTTGTGAATGCCGTTTTTTCGATATCATCTTCATGGACAGCTACTTGGTTATAGCCACAGGTAAGATCCATTGTCGAGAAAAATTTTGCACCACATAGAGCATCAAATGATTCTTTTACTCTGGGTAGTGGATAGGCATCTTTGTGAGTTTTGCTGTTAAGTTTACGGTAGTCCACACATAAGCAGAGCGAATTATCTTTCTTTCTGACTAACACAATCGGTGATGCGTATGGACTAGTACTCTCCCTTATAATATTGTTGTTCAACAATTTACGAATATGTGATTTCACTTCCTCATATTGTGATGGGGGTATTCGTCTGTAAGGTTGCACTATAGGCTGATCGTCTGTTGTCCGAATAGTATGTTTTATGGCTGTAGTATATCCTATGTCATCATCATTTTGAGAGAATACATCTTGATTTCGGTAGAAAAGGTTGCGAATTTCTTTCATCTGTGTAGGATCTAAATTCAACTTTTCCATTTCCGGTGGAATTTTGAAATCACTTGTCACTTCCTCTGAATTTGTGGTTTCACTGCACATAAATTCTTGTTGAACAAAAATCTCTTCAGTATTTCCTTTTCTAGTGAATTCGATGTTAGATGAATTTTCAAGTACATCGCCATTGACAAGGACGGCAACTCTTGTTCTGGGTGCTAACCACACATCGTCAGTACCAATATTTGCGATACGAAAGCATAGAAATCCACGGTTCACTTTACTAAGAGTCCGGACAACGATAATGTTTGATGACAAATGCTGAGTAGATGTTAACGGTTCTACCATGGCTTCATGCAGTCTTGGCATCTTTGGTGCTGTACCATTGAGTGACAGTGACAGATTTTCCCGGAATGCGTACTGGAGACTTTGCACAGACTTTAACATATCCTATGACATCACGTTTAAGATTTCTGTCACATGCTTTGAATTGTTTTTTTAATTTGTAATTTGCTGAAATTTCTTCAACTTTTTCTGTGTACTCTGCTCCGTGTTGCGTTTCTAATAGACTCTTACACAGTGAAATCGTGTTCATTCCCAGAATGGCCGGAATGTTTTCCTTACGCTAACGTGTTTCTAAATCAACGGAATTTTTCACAACTAACACACCCACTTGCTGTAACTGTTGACCCATGACCTCAATGTTGACCTCGATGTATCCAATAAACGGTATGGAAAGTCCGTTAGATGCTTTCAAAGAAAACACAATGTCTGTATTTAATTTCGTTGCTGACTTCAGATGTTTCTCATAAAATGATTCTGTCACTGTAGAAACTGATGATCCAGTATCAACTAAACAATTAACACTAACACCATTCATTGTCACAAATACTGAAGGACATTTACCAACTAAACGTGTGTTCATTTTCCATGAGTCCGTTTCACTTCCCTCTATAACGGGACTCGGCATTACGAAGGGCTTTTGTTTTCCTGTTCAGAATTTGTAGAATCCGGTTTTGTTGGGCATTCATTAGCTTTGTGTCCCTGCTTTTTGCATCGGTAACATGTAAGCATGGTAAGTGGTCGATCATAATAATACCAGTTGTTGTCGTAGTATTTTTGTTTGGAATTGACAACTTTTGTTAAATTTTCTATCTGACACGATTGTTTCTTCAATGCGTCGGTAAGTTCTTTGATTTTCTTTTCACTTTCACTTTCCGTTTGCTTCGTTATTTTTTCTGTCGATACTTCCGTTTTCTTTTCACTCTCGGACTCCCGGTTTTGTTCAATTGATTTCTTCTCCAGTGATTCTTGAAACGAGACTTCGCCATGTTCATCTTCTTCTGACCAGAGTATAGCCTCTTCTCTAAGTTCCCTAAACGTGATATCCGGTTGCGTGCGCAGAAAACGTTTTAGATGTTTCCGTAGATACTGGTCTCTGACATTTTCTGAAAAATGTTCACACAATGTTCTATCTTGGTTTCCGAAAACTGACGAGTCTTTCCGAGTAATTCTTCTAATGATATCCATCAGACCGTAAGAATATTGACGCAGTGTTTCAGTTTCATTCTGTTTTCTGTCAAGAAATTTCTTCTGTAATTTAATAGCACTGTCTCTATCACCGAATACATCCCGCAAAATTTTAACCATATGTAGAGGGTCTTTTCGTACATCACCTGACAAATACTTGATTTCGTCTCGCGCATTTCCAGATAGATTTTGGTAAATTAGATCCGCCCCTTCTTCTTTAGTCATACCACGTGCTGCATATTGAACATTTTCTATCCAGTCCTCTATATCCATGTTATTGCCGGTGAATTTCGGAACAGTGCAATCTAGCTGCACATAAACAGTTTATGGTTCTTTTGGTTCGTAATTTGTTTTCCAGCCCATTTCACTAAGTTGATTCTGCAGACCTTTGATTTCTTTCTGTAACGACTTTACAGTTGGATGACTCGCCATTGTAACAGCCGAGAATGGTATTCACTATCAGTACGGGTAGTTTACGCTCGAGTAAACATTCCTTTCCCACGATGTTTCATTGATGTAATGGAATTTGAAGTTCTACTCACGTTGTTGGAATCTTACATGTAATTCTCCGTTGTCACCACTAGCCATTGCTTTAGTTCCCGGCGACGCCAAATATAACCAAGCGGGAATGGAAAACGCAGGTTCAGTTTAATAAATTTATTTGGAAATGAAAAAGCAATGGCAGATCTACAAATACAAAAACATATATACAATATCATAATACACATAGACACTGAGACAAAATACTTTTATTTCCTATTCACTTCAAAAATAAGAAAATTTAAGTTTACTAAGCCCAAAAACGTCAAAATCATAGTTTAAAATACCTTTCTCTCAAAAATATGAAAAACACTTGAGCTTATAACTTGGACTTAATAAATAAAATGCAAAAATTTAATAGACTAAGAAAATTACCTTTCAAGTGGTGACAACGGGCAGCTGGTAATAAGTAAGTTAAATTTCCCGCACTGACAGGGATGGGCCCATGCCTCAGTTTATATAGCAGAAAAACCGGTTAAACAAGGGGGTACAAATTTACTGGCCAATGAGATTTTGTGAGTAGAATTCATGAATGGAGACTACTATCAAATATGGCATATAGTAAATTATGGCTCACTAAGTTATTCAATAAAGATAAAAAAAAATTATTTTAAATAAATATGACTCCGCCACATTATTTTTGACCCCTATCTAGCACCGTTTTGAGCGCAGAAATCGAAAAAGAAAAACCGATGTGCACAACTTCAATTCTTCTAGTATTTAAATGCAGTAGACATTCTGCTCCAGCTTTTGTCGTTTCTGAGCCTTTGTCTGGAAACAAACAGCACCAAATTTTCAATTAAAGGGAAATAACTCAAATGCGGAAGGGAATTTTTGAAATGTATGAAAACATTTAAATTGAGTTTTGTAACGTCCAAAAACTCTGAAAATTTGAGCGAAATCCGTTAAGAAATGAGCGAGTTACGAGGTCTCAAAGTTGGCGTCTAGGAAAAAAAAAAGAATAATAGGAATAATCTTAACCATCAGAATCAGTAGAAGGTCTTCCGCCTGAGCGGAAGACCTTAAAAATAAGAATTTAAGCCAGCTTTCGTTCGCTTGATTTTTCATTGCATACATTTCCCCACATTCGTTTCAGAATCGCCATGTCTTAACCAATCATTTTACAACCCGAGATTAACATCGAAGTGCCTCTCTTCTGACCAAACTGGTGATAAATTCTGCAAGTAAGATGGATTTTCTCAATAGTTGACATTTTTGTTAATCTTAAAAAAAATTATTTAACGTGATGTATATTTTATTTAGACGGGTATGGAAAATAGTTCAATGCTTAGGGAATGGTATTGTAAAGTCTTCAGGAATATCATGTTCTGGAATACGGCTGAAATCTATCGCTCTCCAAAATCAGAATACTATTGAAAGGTTAATGGGAAGGTCAATCTCTCAGTGTAAGTTATTTATTTTTACTGCATAAACACAAACACACATGAGCAAACACCTCATTGACATACATTTGCACAAATTAAACACGCTTACAAAAATAAACGGAACCGGCGACCAAAAATAAAATTAGGCAATCTACATGTACATACTTTTTATTTCGTCCTGATTCAATATATTTAATTAACCATTTTATAGTTATTGATACCGGTAGTTGAAAATGAAGAAAACTAAACGGTGCGTGATCAGGTACCCGTGTTTGCACATTCATAGGCAGACACTTTCAAATTTTTGTTGCCCCAACTATACTGTTGGGTTCGGAGGTCCCGTGTCCAGGTAGGTGCTGGCACGAAAAAAGATCTTTCCCTGCTCAATAGCCCTAAGTGCCGAGCATAGGACAAAACTCGAAGCTTTCCATCGGCAAGTGGTGGCTTCTCAATATGAATGAAAATTCTCGACAGGGACGTTAAACAACATACAATCAATCAATCAATCTTTTTGAAAAAAAAGATGGTATCGGAACGTTCAATCGAGAAAACACATCAAATCCATTAAAAGTAAAAAAAAAATCTTAAAAATACCAAGTTCTATTGATAAATGAGTTACGACAGCCTTTTGATATCAGAGCCATCATGATGCATAATTCATCGAAACCGACTTTTTTCACGTAACTGTTTTCATTGCATTATGAAAAAATGAAGAATTTTCACAACATTTTAATTATGTTCAGATCTCGCTGTTGGACATAGAAAGCGGTCTTTCGGATGATACCGTATAAATTAAGGTCCCGTGTCGCCGAAGGTCCTGGCTTGAAAAAGATCCCTCTCAGAAATGCTCTACAGTCGTTAGTGCCGAGTATATAAAACGTGCAGTTGTCCACCGGAAAGTGGTAGCGCTTCAATTATGAATATGATTGTAAAATCTTTAGAGAGATGTTAAAATTTAATTGAACAAATAAACAAATTAGATAAACATTCTTAAGAGAAGTCGAGAAGATACAAATAACGGTTTAAGGGAAGATTGTCGATATTCTGGTTACATTTCATTTGTATTAATCGCAAAAGTTGAATTTTTTTCTTTTTTTATTTATATTAAAAAGGAGTATTTACGTACAGATCTGCGTAAAAACCATGCGAGATATGATAGTAGTTGATATATGAGAGTTCTAAGAATTCAATGTTTTTCCAGAGACAGTTTTCCCTTGAACTAATAATAATGAATGCGAAATTTAAAAACAAAATTGGTTCATGGTTGCAATGGAATCATGGTTAAAAGAAATCCCTTTTTTGTCTCTCAAAATTATTATAAAAAATGAATTTAGTTATATCTTTTACACAATCAATGACTTGAAGAATTTTTCAAATGTTAGCTAAATTAATAATAAGGGACTAAAGTTATGTTTTTCCAAACAGATTGCAATTATGTTAGCTTTTAAAAGCTTCCAATCTAAGGACAGATATGGGCTAAAAATCCGTAGAAAGTGTTTTTACTCTCTTATTAAACGGTCAAAACAATGATAATAATAAAAAAAAAATAAATATAGGGCGAATATAAAATAACTTATAAATATGCTAAAAATTCAGGAAAAATAGAGAACATTCGGATTAGCCAAAATCCATTTTTGTTAAACTATTTGTGTCAATTTGGTAATATTATCTTATAGACCTTATATGGTAATGTCTTTTTATGCAAAAAGAAAATCGTTTAATTTTTGTGAAAATAGACGACCGTATCGCATGATTGGATGCAGTCATTTTTAATCTTATTTTACTGTTAAAGGTGTTCAATCTCCATGCAAGGGACTATATTTTAAAAGACTGAGGAAGTATGGAATCCCTTGCTCTCGAACACTTCGAAGTAAGAAAATCAACTTCAGAAGCACCGTGTCGGTAAATAATTATGTTGACAAGCTATGATTTTTGCTTAAATCCATAAAAAGTAAAGTTTTATCCCGAAACATAACTGCAATAAGATACTGTTATTAACTCTTTAATGCTTTAATGTAAGAAATATGAGATACACAAAATTCTGTTGTCTTCTTCCATGTTAAAGTCGTACCTTTCTTGACACACAGTGCATTGACCAAATGAGGAAAAATACTTCTGTCATCAAATTCCCCTGCAAATAAGACTGATTTTTAAAAGTTTGTCAGCAATAAAATTCATGAGCACCATTCAAAATCAAGATTTTTTCTTGTTGTCACTTCTTTGTCTTCAGATGTAGAAAAAGCAAATGATGAATACAGATACATTGCTTTACACTTTTATTCGGTACCAAGTATTTCTTCCACAAAATTTTTAGTTTTAATATATTAATAAATATTACAATGTATTCTTTAAGAATGAAATGATTGATTGATTGATTGATTGTATATTGTTTAACGTCCCTCTTTATAAAAAAGAGTGAAATGAATATATATATATATATATATATATTTAATTCTTTCTGTTAAAAAGATTTATACTATTTGTCACGCAGAAAATAGTAACTGCTTTGAATGTGCTCTAAAAATGTTAGAACTTCATCATACGAATATTTAAAAAAATGTGAATTTGAGCAATCTTCTGTCTTGCAGTTGTTAGAGAGTTCATTCTAAAGTCGCAGAGTAAGTAATTGATCCATGTGAGATCTCAGAATAAGTAGAAATCAATATAGTCAAAAACTAAAAAAAAGAAAAAAAGAAACACGGTAGAAACTGTCTCATCCTTCGAAATCATTCTCGTTGTGGAGTCCGACCTTTCTTTCTACTGTGAAATCACAAATTTTTGTGGGGGTGTAATGTTTGTTGTTTTCTAGGTTTGAAGAGACCCACGAATCCATGTCCAACACGAAATGTAAAATGTGACATGCATATCTACTCAACAGTTCTTCAAATCCCCACAAACCACGATTTTTTGAATTTAAACTATTTCTAATGACTTCACATTATGTAATCCCACACATTCGGAAAGATGCAATTAAACTCGTTATTATGACAACAATAAATTGCTTACTGAAAAATCTTTTTCTTTTTTTTTTTAGTAATTTTCAGCTTGTAGCAAATTGTATGGTTTCCAAAATCATTGATGAAAACAATTCTACTTGTTTGACCGAGGATAAAGCTTCTACAGCACAGCTGTTTGTTTATTATTTACCACCAACGTACCATGCTCTTTTCAAAAGATGTAAGTGTATTCATTTTTTTTAAGTTTTACTAAAAGCTACTTAGTTTTTTTTTCAAAACGAATCAATTGAATATTTCATGATTTTGTATTTTATAAAGTTCTTTGAATTTGTGAATAAGTGCAGAATAATACATCCCCTTTTCCATATTACATCTTGTACATTTAAAAGAACTCTTTTAAAGACATCCTCATGACACTTCGAAAAAAGCTTAAAGCTGAACATAAATCGTAAAAAAAATGTCCGACATATTTGTTGGAGCTCTTGCAATATCTACAGACATCTAAAAGTAGAATAGATCACTTAGTCACTGTTCTTTGAGATGAACTGTCACTGCCGTATGCTATATAATACTATGTAGCGGTGAAAACGCATACTTTTTCCAATCTAGGAAAGCAAGATACCAAATACACTTACAACAGTTGCATAGGTCAGTGCAGTATTCAAACAAACACAAACAAAGGCAGTTCAAGATAACAAGCAAAAATACGGGTTGCCATACCACGCCGATACATGTACCTGTGACAATAAAACAGTCAGTTGTAACAAATACAATGAGTATATACACTGTACCTTGGTGTTGATGTACGTATCGTAGATAATGGTTCGAAAATGGCGAATGTATATTTACGAGTCGTGTTCAGTTTTAAGTGTACAATTTAAATAACAGAATGTGAATAATAAATGTTTTTTATTTAAAAAGATAAATAGTTTTTTTTCATTAATTTAGTTTCTTTTTCAAGAAAAATCAGATTGAATTATTTGCTTATTATGAAGAGAGATAATTTGTTTCCCATAAGGGCTTAATGTTATGAAAAATGCAGGAATAGCCTTAATACGTATGAATTAGCCTACATATATTTGCATTTTCAGGTGAAGCAAAAATATCTGAATTTAGTGCAGTTGGAAAAGGTATTTCTTTTAATTAATTAATATACAAAAATACATATTTCAATAACATTTCGACTGCAAGCTAGACAATAACAAACCTGAACTTCGAAAAACAATTCTAAATACCTTGTAAAATTCAATTATACCTGTAATGAGGTGATCGGAATCTGAAGATCTAGTGAACCGTAATAGTTCATTTTTTTGTATGACAGACTTTAGAAAATATATTCAATCTTATGGAAATTCGGATAAATCTTGTTTTCATTTTTATGCGATAATCTTCGTATGTTTCTAATAATTACATGTAAATGCAATTAAGCTGGTATATCGAAAAACTAATGTACTCTCATTTTAATTTGTAAAAATAATAACAAATGTAACAAAAATTCATATTATGCCTTTTTGAGATTACCTTATTTCCTTAGATTCACAAAGTCTAGTCCAGGACGTTAGAACAACTACAAAGCTGACGCCATTAATTGGTAAGAAAAAGATAAATATGATAAAATGTAAAGTAAGAAATAGGAATAATGATTTCCCTGTATACATACTCATGAACGTCTAATTATAACACAATTAGCTATTGGATTAAGAAGACTTTTGCAAGTTTATCGTTTCATTGTAAAGTCACAGCAAAGGCAAAAACAAATTCAATTACAAAGATCTCAGAGCCAAGATGGTGAAAGCTCACATAGTCATTCTATCACAAAGGATTCAAAGCTAAGTTCGTAAAGACTCTTGTAGTCCGTCTCGGACCTAAGATGTTAAAAGCTATTGATACTCGGTGCGCACATCTTTTGTACAAGAAGCTGCATCATAGGGATCACATATTTGGTAACAGCATTACTGGGTTAGAGTGTCATTTCATCAATATTAATATAGTCCGCCCATCACTGAAGTTCTGTCTCACATCCCCTAAAAGTATATGGCAATGGCGTCCACTATTTACATTAACATCTTCTTCAGTTAAATAGATGACTGCAGCTCTGCGCAAAATCTGATTGAAAAGTGTCAATGTTCGACATGTTCGAGAACAACACATCGTAAAAACTAATTGTCCGTCAAATGAGGACGCTCACTTACAGTATCCAATTTCCCAGAGTTTGTAAACAAGTTCTTAATTTAGATACCCGTATTATTGTCCGTCGCTCGAACCACTGATAATATCAATAAAATTTGAACCGCGTTCAAACGGGGAATTGTATACGAATAAGTTTAATTCGAATTAATTTACAGAGCTATAAATTTTTCTTAGCATTAACTCCGTGTAAACGCCAAGCTAAGCTAATTCGAATTAAATATTAACGCAAGCGTAAGGGCAGAATTAAGTCACAGATCACATGTCGGTGTTCAGATAAATGTACTTCTGAAATATGTCAGTGAAAAACTAAGGGAAAAAAATCACTAAAAAAGTTCAGACAATGCGACTGAATGAGGAGTCTTTATTGATTTTTCTCGAGATGTATCTTAAAGGAAATGAGTTTAATGTACTTTTTAAAAATGAAATAAATTTCTGTGAAAAATGTTGATCGGTAAAATTAAGTTTTAATGGTTATTCTGAGAACTAAAAAATAAACGAAATGGTAGGACAAAATTTGTTGTGCTAGGTATGAAAACGCATTGGGAAAAATTTGTTAAAACTTCTGAAAATATTATCTTAAAAAATCAGTATCAATTACATTTCAATCCCTGGACCGTTTTTTAAGGTTGCTATGCTTGAATTATGCTATGCCTGGATTAGAAGTAATGCGCAATAATATGAGAACATAAGCTGTGTGTGTGTGGAGGACCTTTAAGCACAAACCATTTATCTACACAGTATTCAGACATAATAAATATGTTTCCAGAATTTCAAGCATCTTCTTCTCCTGAGCATCCAGACACAGCGACTGATGATAGCACACATTCGTCTTTAGCACATTTAGCAACATCGACCAATGGTACTACAAGGTCTCCTGAACATCCAGCTATTACACCAGATGCTACCACAAGCTCTCTTCCTAGCTTACTCAGAGTGAATCTAGGTACTGGTATCACAAAGTTTTACCTAATGTGGTAATCTTCTTAATCTTGTCTTGAATGCTTCTTTATATCATATATTTACAGATTGTCGTTTGCCTGGGATCATATATAGAGGACGCAGGAACATAACTGAATCCGGTATAGTGTGTCAAAAATGGGATATACAGAGTCCACACAAACACACTTATGATATAATTCGGCTTGCACAAGAGAACTACTGTAGAAACTTCGACAGAGAAGAGCCGTGGTGTTTCACTAGTAACTCTAGTGTTCGTTGGGAACTTTGTGGGGTGGAAGTTTGTAGTAAGTGCATTTGAAACTATATATTACAAGGTTGTGCAAAGATGCTAGCAGTGATTGCTCACATAGTTCAAAAAGATGAGGAAATAGAACATTATACATGTTTTCAATTGCTGTTTGCAAGAAGAATATCGAGATCACAAAAAGTATTCAATCTCAAAGTCTATTAAAAAATACAAAATAAGAGCAGAGGAAACACGGACCTCCGAAACATCAGAAGTGGGATCAAGTGCCATGGAGGAGTGAGCATCCCCTGCTGACCGGTCACATCCGCCATGTGCTCCTTGTCATGATCAGGAAATAACTGAAAAATCCGTTGTCAGTCCAGTATGTAAACAATGGTCTAACAATAAGTATGGAAAACGTCAGTCAGCATTTGACACAATGATAAATTGTATTTGTGGACAAGGTCATTGTATCGACCATTGAACTTACGAAATTATTACTTTAAACGAAACTGCTGATATTCTTATTTTCATCAACTTGCTTGTCAATAATCTATCTTGTTTCAGAAATAAATGTTCATACGTTGAGCAAGCTCTTGCTTATGGAATCAACTGAGATATATACTCTCCTTATGCAGGTGATGAAAGATTATTGCTGCATTGACGATAGAAAATTTAAAGTCATCACGTTCATCATATAGCTTGGTTGTTATATTACCATAAAAGTCTTTTTCAAGTAAAATATCCAGGTTTGAAACAGATGTGTCAGACTATGTGATATCTTTTATCTCAAACTCACTAAGATATATCGTATCGACATAGGAATGGAAATTACCATTGTTAATAAACAATACGTCGATCTAAATGTCAAGTTGACGGCCACAACAAGTGTTTTCTACTTTTCACGCACAAGATTTTGCACAAATTCTGCTTTATATGAATATAAAAATAGGTCCTTCACTACTGTCAATATAATTAAAGATAGTTACATGATTATGATTTGTATATGCCACATAGATGTTGTCAATCAGAAACTCAAGCATCTTTTTTATGTCAACTTCAGAGTATTTGTGTGTGCAATCAGAGTGTGCTTTAACAACCCCCCCCCCCAGAAAAAAATTTAAGTTTCATATATATATATATATATATATATATATATATATATATATATATATATATATATATATATATATATATATATATATATATATATATATATATATAATGGAATTTTTTGAGCATCAACATCTGATTCCCACTACTTCTTGAATATAAAGTTTCTCCCCCCACATTATATATATATATAAAGAGCCATTTTAAATTTTTTGTTCCAGTTTAACATGTGTTTGAACACGACTCATAAATAGGCATATATTCATTTTCGATAGCATTATCTACGATACATCAATACTAGGGTATATCAACAACTATATACGTTCACCTGACTGCTTTATTTTCACGGGTATCGGCGTGGAATACATCCCGTGTTAGAAATGCTGGTTATCTTGCATTACCTTTGTTTATATTTCTGTATAGCATACGTGTTGTCTTCACCGTGTGAAAAAGGTCGACATAATTACACTGAACAGTGAAAAATAAGTTTCTGTGGCGTTTTGATTTGATATCCTTATTTTCCTCTTATGCAACTAGTAGCGGAAAAGATTTACCATCACTATTATGCATATGCACCTGCGTGTTTTTTTTTTTGTGTGATAGTATATCCTTTTATCTTAATTTTGTTAGAATTTTTGCTTTAACGAGTGTTAGATGAGATAAGAATAAGATTTTAGATTTATAATCATTTGATAACAAGTAGCACTATTCACAAAAAAAATCATACACTAAGATGTAATACATGTATCAACAACTATATATTTTCTGTGTTTGATGTAATATTTTTTCTTGTACAGTATTTACAATATATCCCTCTGTAATAGAAATAAATAGTTTTGGTGACTTAACATTCCTTTGATTAGATACTTTTAAGAATTCCAAATGTTTTGTTGAAATAATTTGGTGACAATTTTTTTACCACATTACCACACCTGACTATTTGCTATATGGAATTTTTCTTCGGACGCAAGTAAAGCTATAAACTTTTGACATTCTGGTGACAGAAGATAATTTGTTTAGGCAATCAAAACGATTGACTGAGGGTTTACTTCATATTGAGCTGCTTTTAAAATGTGCATTTGAAAATTTAAAATTCTATATACATGTGATTATAGTATGATATAATCCCTTTAGTAATTTGACACTTTTAGGAAGAAAACATGTACAACTTACACAAAGGGACCTAATGATGGCACAAGGACAATCTCAAAATTTCATCTAAATCAATTTTTCACTATTTCACCGCAGCCGAAACTGCTTCCACACCCGTGCTAATGACATAAGCGACCACACAAATTGCAGAACAATTTTTGAACATGGCACTGAACAGCAAGAGATAATGGCCCAATCACCTCATTTTCAAGCTTCAACTCATTCTATGACACCACCCCGCTCTTCTCGTGAAATACTGGAAGATTTATTTTTGATCTTAGTTTCGTATTTCTAGCCCATATCCCATATACAGTAGTAGTGACACTAAAGTGTCACATTTCAATAAAATTTTGCAAGGCCACCAATTGCCTCCAAAAGCACCCAAAAAATATTCTAGCAATACAATTACCTATAATATACAATCAAACCTTAGATTTCTCTATTTTCTTCTAATTTTTGAGACTCTACATGATCAGTACGTACTGGTTCCTGCCGAAAACGCAGGTAACAACATTGTCTTCGATTGTAAGGTTCATTACATAAATTGCATTTTAGAAGAACTTGGATTTAATTCTACAAATGGTAATCCTACTTGTACTCATACTTCCCTTTCTAAGGAAGAAATTCTTCAAAATCACGTGTCAGTTTTGAATGCTTTTAATATTCTACAGAGCCAAAATGAATTTGAACTACGATATATATATTGGATTCTGACACTTCATAAGAATCCTTACAAACAAAGATACATAGCAGGTTCCAGTAAATGTTCAACCAAGCCTCTTTCATTACTTCTCACTAAGATATTAACAGTAGTGAAGGAAAAACTTCAGGAGTACTGTGCAACTATATATTCAAGAAGTGGTGTGAATCAGATGTGGATACTTAAAAATTCTAAAGAACTCTTGGACAATTTGAAATCACAAGACTTTACAAAAATCACCAGCTTAATAACTTACGACTTTTCAACTTTATACACAACAATTCCCCACGGCAAATTAAAATCCAGGCTTTTTGATATTATTGACAGCTGCTTCTTCAATAAAATGGAACTCGTAAAATTACTTACCTCGTAATTGATCATACTAATTGTTAGTCCATTATTTATACACTGATTTGACAAGGGATTTTTTCCGTTATGTCCTGATCATGACAAGGAGCACACGGCTGGTATGACCTGTCAGCAGAGAATGCTCACTCATCCATGGCACCTGATCCCACCTCTAATGTTTCGGGGGTTCGTATTTGCTCTGCTCTTATTTTGTATTGTTTTATGGACTTTGAACTTGAATACTGTTCGTTATCTCCATATCCTTCTCCATATGAGTGAAAAATTCTCGAGAGGGACGTTAAACTATATACAATCAATCAATCAATCTAACTTTTGACTGTTGATTAATCCGAAACTATCCTCTACCGTCTCTACAATTTTAATCAACCGCTTCATTTTATATAAAAAAAATATTGCTTCTGTGGTAATCGAATTTTTGATGCTATATGCCACTGTGAGACATACTCACGTGGGTAAATTACTATGAATTAAATCATACGTGATATGCCCCTGCTAGGAAAAAGGGAACTACCCGATCACGTGCACATATGGATAATATGCCTTCAACTCCCCCACATTGATTTTTGTTAGATACGGACCCCCACCAACATGATATATATGGTTTGGCCTCATTTCTCATTTATGCCTTCTAGGGATTATTATGCTTGGCACTGCTTTATTTTGTATTTTTACAGACTTTTGAAAATAATATGTTTTTTTCATACTTTTATCCTATTTTAAGGATCACCTTGCCTCAATCAAACATTCTTTACCGAACAATTAATATCTCAGTGTCAAAATGCGGCACAACCAGATGATCAATTCTGCAGGTAAGCTCGTTTTCTCATTTTTTTTTTTTTAAATTTTTACAAGAAAGCCTAAAATATTCCAGTACACTTGTAATCAGGATACTCCATGAGCTTTACTGTGTTGTTCCCGACACAGTTAAATTTTCTCCGACACAATAACAATTCAAATTTTGTTCTCTAAAATATTTGAGATGGGATCAGGTGCCATGGAGTAGTGAGCTTCCCCTGCCGACCGGTCACATCTGCCGTGTGATGCTTGTCACTTGTACATCATGAAGATTTATGCTTAGTAATATGGTCTTTTAACTCCTGTGTTATATTAGATATTCAGGGTTGAGAAATCGGGACAATTGAAAGAAATCAGTTGAACTTATTTAAATATCTATTTTATTACATTTTACAGTTTGTAAAAAAAAGTTTTAAACATCTTCTTTTGTTAATTTTATATAGTCGTATGTGGAAAATGATAAAGTGTTTGAAGAACCAAATCGAAATTTCATCAGGTATTTCATGTTCTGGGATTGAAAGTAGATCTATTGCTTTGCAACTTGAGGGAACCATTGAGGGAGTAATGAAGAGGTCTATTTCTCAGTGTGAGTAACCTTTTTTTAACCCCTGACACAAAAAATACAGAAAACAACAACAAATAAAATATAATCATATAACATTAAATGATATGAAATAAATAAAAAAAAATTAAAAATGGATTTATAGCACAATTTTAAAACTGATAAACTTAAATTACTATCATTTATAGGAAAACAAACGTTCCAATTTTTATATCAAAATCAAATAAAATCAAATATAACATTTTCATGACTTGTGTTTGTCCCCTATAGCCCCGTTACTACATAAGATCAATAAAATGCATTTTAGGTATTCAACCTCCATGCACAGCTTCAATTGTGTCAACTATGGAAGGGTTGTCGGATTATGGAATCCCTTGTAACCAAGCCTTCCGTGTCGATTTGTCAACATCAGAAACACTCTGCAGGTATTTAATGTATTATGGTTACATGTAAGCCCCAATCTCTGTTTATTTTATAGAATGTAGATAAAACGACACTAAAAAGTCTCCAGTCTAGTAAATTGGGGTTCATGAATTACAATTGTCATTCTTTTATTTTAAATCTAGACAATTAATAGATTATGAGGAAATTTGCAGGCTGCATATAATATAGCAGTGATAAGGATTCCCTGTGCTTATGCCCTGATTGACATAGAATCTTTATATTCAAAGTCTTCAATATATCCGATATACAAGTGTCTGAGTTTTTTCCACGCACATGGCGAAAAAACCCTCACTGCATATTCTTAATATCATGAATTAATTTTGCCTTGAACGTAAATTAAACCAAACTTGAGATTATTATCCTATGACAATTGGTAATATACAAAAACAGGTATTAACATTGGTAAAAACAAAGAATTTACACCAGGATTTCATTTCAGAGAGAAAGAGAGAGAGCATAATGTAGTAAAAGAAATCTTGAGACAAAATGAATTACAAATCAATGGATGAAACAAAAGAAACTGTTCAGCCTTTAATGTACTGAAGATAACTGTGATTTACAGTAATTATTTCGCACGAAAAATTAAAGATTAGGCTTTTGTCATTCACTTTGTCTAAGAAATCCCCAAAGATCAAATCTTCATACATTCTTATTATGCATCGTTATTAGTAGGTCTGTTTTTTTCAAATCTAAGAGATAAGAAATTATATTACAAATACTTCTTTATGAAAAGAGTAGACTTTTTTGTGGCAACACTGAATTGTCCATGATATATTTGTTTTAAAGGGAGCACACAGTAGAATTTACAAGTCGACAGTCTATCCCCCGCCCCCTATGACATCTGATCCAATCTCTGTTTTTAGAGTTCCTAGACTGTCTTGTTCATATTTTGTTCAGTTTATTTATCTTGAAGTTTGTACATTGGTTCTGTTTTTTATCTACATTTTCATTTTATTTTATTTCTACAAAAGTTTGAATATCAGATTTAAATACAAATGTATATGAATGTATAACCGCTTTCAAAAGAAATCATGGTAAAATCAGGGACCTATATACTAACATAGGTCCCTGGTAAAATGTACATAGATACATGCAATAAGAGGAAAAGTTTGACTTTAATTTTTTTATGCAATGAATATCACATAAGATTAGTGAGGCAAAGAAAAGTATTTGTCATAGCTTATTATCTGTTCGAAAGTAATTTTCAGGGTGTAGCAAACTGCGTGGTTTCCAGAATTATTGATGAAACCAATGCTACGTGCGTGGCTAAAGATAAAGCTTACACAGCGAAGAAGTACGCAACACTTATACCACCAGAATATACAGCAGATTTTAAACAGTGTAAGAATCCTTTTTTTTCTTGATTCTAAAGACTGTCAAGAACGGTATCTACATAAACTGTCAAATTATATAAGCAATTTCTTAATATTAGGAAATTATAAAAATATACGAAAGAAAACCAAATATTCCATAGTTACTTTATTTCATCGTTACCTAGATCTAGGGATACAAACACTCAGCAATTTTATCATATATAAAATATATAATTCCTTCTGTACATATAAATCCTTTATTTTGCCTTTTTAGGCATACCAAAGCTATCTGAATTCCCTGTACCAGAAGAAGGTATAGTATTTAACAAATATCACATAATGCATTTTGAAAAAAACCCAGACTTGATTAACAAAAACAAGCATTAGTGTATGCTCTAATATGTATTGTATTACTTACCACATACTATTCGTATACTTTATAATAACCATGCACAACATTGATATGTAAAAAATACTTTATATTTCAATCATTTTATTAAATCATTACAAAAAGGAATGATTATCTTATTTGAATAAAGAAAATACATGTAGATGTGAATAATCGGATCAAAAACGAGGTCATATAGTTGTGTGGAAAATATATTTTTTTCAAAGCTTCCTCATTCAAAATTTTGTTATAATATACAACTATTTACTGGCTATGAGGACATAAGCAATATTACCCCCCCCCCCCACCACCACCACAAAACAACAACCATTTCCCGAGGCGCAGCCAACAAATACAGTGCCGTGCCATAAGTGTTTCTCGTTTTCATGACGTTGCAAATTCTAAGTGCATTATCTAAAGGTAAAATAAAGTTTACTTACAAAAATACCACTGAAGATGATACCTTGGAACTTTTCATACTTTGTAGCATGACGCTTGGTTTTTGAACAGCTTGTATTCGTCTAGGTATGATTCCGTATAGACACTGTATATAGCCTGGAGTCAACGAATCCCAGATTCGCAACACAGCATTTACAAGTTCTTGTTTGGATTTAATCTGGTTTAGCTCTAGCCAAAGTCTGATTTTTATCATTCCCCAGACATTTTCTATCACATTAATATCAGGCAATTGCGATGGCTAGTATAAACACGGAATATTATTGTCATTTTTTTTTCAATTTTTAGCCCGTTCAGACATGTGACATGGGCAATTGTCTTCTTGAAAAATCCAAGGAGAATTTCAAAATGTTTCGCGATAACTTGCCATAAATGATTGTCCAATATATTTATATATTTTCTGTATTTAAATTACCATCAATGGTTTTTAGGATACCAACGCCAGAGTAGGAAATACAGCCCCAAATGAGACGGTGATACGGACATCGCCATTACGCACTGAACGCAGTCCTAAACACTTGGGCGTCCACATTTCATCTGCCTTCTTCCAAACGTACACACGTTGATCAGAACCAAGAACAACTTGCGTTTCATCAGAAACTATTATATTTTTCCACTAATTATCTACAGTCCAATTTCTATGGTTTTTACACCAATCAATTCGTCTTTTTCTGTTGACAGCTGATATTGTAAGGGTTTTCGCTACTTTTTGTCGTGTGTAACTCAGCAAATGTAATTTTCTCGGGACAGACTGTTTAGAAACTTGACGAGACACAGAATGATTAAATTCTTCTGTTAAATCTCCTAAATTTTGCCTACGACCTCGAAGAACTAGCCTTTTAAAAATCCGTTCGTACTGGACACTCGTCTTTTTGGGTCGTCCGATTCGTGATTCATTTTCGATACTTTTCCGTGTTGCAGAACGTTTCAAAAACTTTGATATTGTAGATCGATCGTATCCAGTTATTTGTGCTATTTTAACTTTTATCCTACCCTCATTATATAAATGTAGCATTTGTTATTTTAGAGCATTTCTCGGCGATTTGAAGCCATGTTTTGTTTACGTCTGCTACTGTTATAAATATAGACCGGCGTGCGCAGGGGAACTCCCGTGTGACGCAGATAAGCTAACTATAATAATGTCTAAATTTAGTAGGGATTGACATCGTATTTACAGAAATATTTACATGAATGCAACTATGAATTTTGTTTTCAATAAAAGGGGGAATTAAACGTGAAACACTTATGGCACTGCACTGTAGATGTTTTTTTTTTAAAACAAACCCGTCTTTTATTGTTTTACGTCACAATCGGGGAAAAAAACAAGACGAGTACCAAAATGAAAAGTAAGGGAAAAAATCTTGCAGAAAAGGGAAGTTTCTATAAAGTATCCCTTTTAATAAAAAATTATCTTTAAACTCATATCGTTTTTAGCTCACCTGAGCCAAAGGCTCAAGTGAGCTTTTCTGTTCACATTTTGTATGTCGTCCGTCTGTCTGTCTATCTGTAAACTTTTCACAATTTCGACTTCTTCTCAAGAACCGCTGGGCCAATTTCAACCAAACTTGCCACAAAGCATCCTTGGGTGAAGGGGATTCTAGTTTGTTCAAATAAAGGGCCACGCCCTCATTCAAGGGGTGATAATTGGGAATTAATAAAAATTTGGTGGCATATTCTAAAAATCTTCTTCTCAAGACCCACTGTGCCAGGAAAGATGAAACTTATGGGGAAATATCCTCAGGTAGTGTAGATTCAAGTTTGTTCAAATCATGACCCCCCTGGGTAGGGCGGAGCCAAAATGACCGACCAAAGTTTTACATAGAAATATGTAGGAAAATTCTTTTAAAATCTTCTTCTCTAGAATGACAAAGCCATAATTCATCATATTTATATGGAAGCATCCTCAGACAGTGTAGATTCAAGTTTGTTCAAATCATGATCCCCGGGGGTAGGGCGGGGCCACAATGGCCGACCAAAGTTTTACATAGAAATATATAGGAAAATTCTTAAAAAAATTTCTTCTCAAGAATGACAAAGCCATTATTCATCATATTTGAATGGAAGCATCCTCAGTTTGTGTAGATTCAAGTTTGTTTAAATCATGACCCCCGGGGGTAGGGCGGGGCCAAAATGGCCGACCAATGTTTTATATAGAAATATACAGGAAAATTCTTTAAAAATCATCGTCTCAAGAATTGCAAAGCCATAGTTCATCATATTCATATGGAAGCATCCTCAGGTTGTGTAGATTCAAGTTTGTTCAAATCTTGACCCCTGGGGGTAAAAAATAAAACAATTTTTACTTTTTCCTAGCCACAGTGCTCAGGTGAGCGATGTGGCCAATGGGCCTCTTGTTTGATTTTTCTTTTTAGATTCCAGAAAGGTAGAACCGGACATGGTAACAGGTGTTAATCAAACACCAGTGATTGGTAACTAAATAATTTATTCATCTTTCTTTCCTTCTTCTTTCTTGGCTTTTCGAGCCTTCTCTTTTTCAAACCAAACCCTAATTATATTTATAATATTTCTATTTCAGTTGTCATAGGATTTGCAATTGTTTGCATTTTAGTAGGCATCCTGATTATCAGTTTAGTATCAATGAGGTATGTACCAATGTTGAGGATAAATGGAAATAATTAGAATGAAATCTTTATGTACTTTCATTGTATAAATTTTAGAACGTCAATTTATCCACCACACGTCTCTATTTTTAATACCATCGTATATATTCTAACATGCAGGGTGTATACTATGTTGTGCGCGGTGTGTATACTTCCGAAGCTAGAGAAAGGGAGTCGATGTATGTTCTTTGTCTTTTTTCTCAACCTGCTCAACTTATGGATAGTTTTCACCAGAAAGCATGTGCCTACGGAAGAAAGCATTATCCAAGGAGTATATGGATACCTATGAATTCACTGTACACCTTCTAGTTTAATTAAACACCTCAACATAATTCCAAGGATCGGAGCAAGAATGACGCTATACACTGTGTTTATGATCAAATATCAGAGGAAAGCTTTGCTTTATCATCACTTTTATATTATTGTTAAATACATGTTCTGTATAAACTATTAATTATCTGTAAATGAGACAGTTGATCCTGTGCCTCAGGAAATGGTTGTTGTCTTTCTTTTCGGAAGGATACACCCCGCACATCATAGTATAAACCCCGCATGTTGGGATATACACGGTGAATACGTAGAGGGAATATAAGAATTTTTTTTGTTCTTGGTTGAACATTAAATATTGATATTTGTTGTAATATACCATGATGCATGTGTGCCTTTTGGGAAATTTTAGCTACTCTTCTGTGAGAACTGGATTATTTTCTGACAAATGAGTTATATGGATGCAAGGAAATAACACATTCCATCTGTAATACTGTTAATCCACATACGTTGTAGTCCAACTGTCCACATTTATTTAATTGTTATTATTATATATTTACTCCGCAGTGAACTATAAGGTAAACATTTAAAAACTCTATTACAAACATGGAATACCATAAAACATGATTTTTTAATGATATTTAATTTTGAAAATGATAACAAATTATCGCCTTAAAGGGAAATACTTCCCTACCTAGGGGAACCATATATTTGAAATTTGCTGGTACTGATACTATAACTATTTTGTACTTAAACAATCATTAGCGATTTATTCAACAGATATTCAGCCATTTTTATTAACAATATAGAGGAACTAAAAAAATTACAAATGCATGTGATTCAAAATATGTAAAATAATGGAAAACAAAATTATTTCGAAAAGTACTCCACTGTAATTTAGAAAAATTATCTTTGTCTTCATTTTAGAATTCAGGTATAAATTTTTATACCGCGTATCGAAACGTTTGACGTCAGAGATACAGTGGTAGTACCAAAACGTCTCTATTTTTCCGATTTTTTCTCGATTCGAGATTCCTTGAACGATCCACCAACTGTTCATTTCCATTGGCAAACATTTTGATAAATACATACATGTATGTATCACGAGGTAGTAGTCCCAGGGAGAGGCTCGGACTTTTCAGATGGGGAAAATAGTCTCTTCTCATTTAAATAGACAATTTTATGGTATTGATTTTATATTTCAAAAATCATTTTAAAAAAGTCCTGAATATAGGGTTTTTTCCGTATCAGACAAATAAAATGAATCTAGATTGCCTGCATTCTTTTGGTAAACGGTAATTTGTATGTTCTTGGCTTCTTCTTTAAAATATGTCAAATATGATACAAGTACTCGGACTACCTTTTAATTTATTTCAATTTGAAATCCATGAAAATGGGAAAAACAAAGTTGAAAGTAATTATGACGTCATAATTGACCTAGTACCAAAACGTTAGCCTAAAGATATTACACTGTAACTAAATTTTGATCTTAAACTTAATATTGCTTGAGATCTACAACTGTTAAAGATTTTTCTACATGTATTCATTAAAAAAAAATCAGTGACTGCGTATTTGATTCAAATTTTTTTTTTTTTGATAATTTGCTTAAAATATCAGGCACTTACACACTTCACGCTCATTTTATACACTCCTAAAGGAGTCACAATGAAATGAAAAAAAGTAATAAACTTGTCTTATTTAACAATTTCATCACACTTACGTTCAAATTAAAATACCATGTTTGTGAACAAAGAATATACTGTAAAGTACATGTGCAGCTCTAAGAGAAAACGTGTTGTGGTGTTTTAGAGGTATTTTCATCCTCGTATGATGACATAGGTTTTGCAAAAAATGTTTTAATTTAAATTAATGCCAACTAAAAAAAATATTTTTAGCTCATTCTGATCAAGGTTTGTCCCTTGTCTGTCGTCGTCGTCGTCGTCGTCTTCGTCGTCGTCGTTGTTGTAAACTTTTCACATTTTCATCTTCGTCTCAAGAACCACTGGGTCAATTTCAACCAAATTTGCAACAAAGTATTCTTTGGTGAAAGGGATTCAAGTTTGTTCAAATGAAGGGCCATGTCCTCTTTCGAGGGGAGATAATTGTGAATTAATGAAAAAGTAATATGGTACGTTTTAAATATCTTCTCAAGAGCCACTGGGTCAGAAAAGATGAAACTTATGTGGAAGTATCTTCAGGTAATGTGGAATCAAGTTTGTTCTAATCTTGACCCCGTGGGAAGGATGGGGCAATGATTGTGTCAGGGTTCAAAGTTTAACAAAGGAATACATGGGGAAGATCTATAATCTTTTCAAGAACAGCAAAGCCATGATTGATCATACGTGTAGTTATGTAAAACAATATAAAAATTGTTTATTTTCGTTTTAAAACAATTATTCAATCTTTAAAAAAAAGGTGACAAGGGCAATAACTCCTTCTCAGGTATCTTCATTCGGGCACTGTCTTTATTGTAACTCTTATGTAAAATAGTTTCCCTGGTCTTCACAGTTATGGAACCTTTAGCATCAAAATTATGCATTTGAACCAGTTTTTACATAATTTTTTTTTCACAATGTTTACAAAAAAAGAATATTTCCGTTTATTCATGCCTCCTATCTTATATAAAAAGTTTGAGTTGAAAACATTTGTCTCGCTGAAAACGATTAATATGTGCATTTTTGAAATATGTGTTCATATGTCCGATACATTTGATTTGTTTGTAAACTAGATTACATGAAATATGTCGGAATAACGAGAATTATTCGAAGATACGTTGATTTGTAGATAAGAAAGGACCTGGGGGAGAAATAACCGATAATGCATTTGTACATTGTTACTTCAAGTCAAAATGTAGGTTTAAAATCAAAATATTCTGTCTTGATTCACAGGAAAATGCTTTTGCGAAAGAGAAGGAAAGATTTAATGCGCCTTCCAAATGTTCCAAAGACAACAAATAGTCTATATGAATCAAATTTTACCTCATCAAATAATCCCTACAATGAACCTGATTATGAAATGATTGAAGAACAAGACGAAAATTATGATCATCTGCGTGAACAAAGAGAAGAACGTGAATCTCTGAATGACAAGGAACAAGTTAGGGGCGGATCCTACATTATTCCTAATAATGCAGATGGTTCATATCTGGAGGTCTTACATACCACAAACGAAAGTGTTAATGCAAGTTACACGAATATTAACCGTTACGTAGAGTTGATCGATGATAGCATTGAACGTAAGTCTAAAGCAGAAGTCAATGATGAAGTAAAGGAGTCTCAAGCAGAAGTCAATGATGAAGTAAAGGAGTCTCAAGCAGAAGTCAATGATGAAGTAAAGGAGTCTCAAGCAGAAGTCAATGATGAAGTAAAGGAGTCTCAAGCAGAAGTCAATGATGAAGTAAAGGAGTCTCAAGCAGAAGTCAATGATGAAGTAAAGGAGTCTCAAGCAGAAGTCAATGATGAAGTAAAGGAGTCTCAAGCAGAAGGAAATGATGACGTAAAGGAGTCTCAAGCAGAAGTCAATGATGAAGTAAAGGAGTCTCAAGCAGTAGTCAATAATGAAGTCCAGGTACATGCAGGTACATGAAGAAAACAGTAGTGATTCGGAAAGCACAGGACATGAAGTTATATTGTGACTATATTAGCCATAAATTTTTCTTGTGTAGTATTTAAAGGTATTTAAAGTATCCAAAGCTTCTTTGGTTCATTTTTTATTAAGGTTTTCCGTCTCCAACGGAAGACCTTCTACTGATTCTGATGATTAAGATTATTCTTATTATTCTTTTTTTTTTCCTTTTCCTAGACGCCAACTTTGAGGCATCATATTTCACTCATTTCCCAATGGATTTTGCTCAAATTTTCAGAGGTTATGAACGTTACTAAACTCTATCAGAATGCTATCAAAAATTTTAAAAAGTCACTTCCGGTTTTGAGTTATTTCCCTTTAAACGAAAATTTATAGGCTTTCGTTTCCAGACAAAGGCTCAGAGACGGCTAGAGCTGGAGCAGAAATTTTACTGATTTAAGATAATACAAGGATTGAAGTTGTGCATGGCGGTTTTTGTTTTTCGATTTCTCTATTCAAAATGGTGCTATATAGGGGTCAAAAATTAGAACGCCTAAAAGAGCGAAAATTTACATATATTTTGCTTTTTATCTTCTAAACTAAAAAGATTTTGTTAAAACACATAGAACAAAACTTGTGCAGAATTACATGATCTTTCAAATGATATTTCTCAAAAAGGGCTGACCCCTAAATTAAGGGATCTAGAGGGGCCAAAAGTTTTTTTCAGATATCTCAAAAAGTATTGAGAATTTGTAATACATCCAAGAAGCAAAGTTGTTCATAATGTCAAGCTTAATCTATTGAAGTCGTCAAAATGTGTCCGGCGACGTCACTTCCGGTCAAACCGGAAGTAGTCAGAAAATGCATATTTTTGCTGTTCTTGACAAGTTTTTGGGTAACATATGTCACTGGAAGCATATGACTAAATTTTCCGTCCATCGACATCACTTCCGGTCAAACCAGAAGTAGCCAAAAATTGTTTATTTTCTAAAGTTTTGATGCAAAATTGAAATTATAAAGTAAATGGAGACGACAAAGCTCATTGCTTTCTCTTGTTGACGTTTTTTAAAGGACGGAAGACCTACTCGTTTTTTTGCAACGAAATATAAGTTATATTACTTTTGGAGTTTTAAATGTTACTTTTACATTCGACAGCTGACTTTTAAATTTAAATAATGGAGTTGGTCTATGTATAAATTGTAAAAGTCAGTCGTCGATTGTAAAAGTAAGTCTCTTCATAAAACTCCATTACAAACACGTAAACGAGTGTAAAAATAGAAATGTTTTTTTAAATTATGAAATGAGGTTATTCGACAGAGAATTTTTACATTTTAAACAATTATATATTATTTCTATCTGAGGATGTATTTCGTGACAAAACATATTAGAAGAGAGAGAAGTTCGAACTTACCGGTACCGTTATTTTTAATGAGTTTATATACTGTAAACCAACATTTATTCTTAATTTAACGACTTTAATTGGCCATTTATTGGTGTTTAATTCACTCGAAAACACTAGTTTTCACGATCAAGCCATTTTGAATATATATAATTTGCGATGACGAGACTCTCATGAACTTCGCGAAAATTTCGCTAATGCGAATAAAACTTGGTATACAGTAGTACCATATTCAATAATAAGATGGGGTGGGTTAATTCAAATTTGAATGCTAAAGGACGTATTCGATGCCTCACTTGTATGCTAATGACATCATTTTTAAAAACTTTTGTGATGAAGAACAAGAACAAGAACAAGAAAGAAAGATTTAACTAAAAATATGTTTTGTCTCTTAAGCATGCAAAAGTTATTTTGAAACATCAATACACGTTTCATTTACATTATTCTTGTGATTTTTTTTAAAGCCTCATTTTTTTGAAAAATATAATTATAAGGCTTTTTCTATTAAATGTTTTCAAGAGATTTAAAAGGTATAACGTACCTTTCGTATTTTTATAACAATCTAGAATTATCTGTTTTTGTACAAAACAGTCAAAAATTGTAGAATGACATTCTCTTGACCAAGTGACATTGCAGGACTATAATATTTCTTCATTTTTGCATATGGTTAAACGCGGTATTACATGTACTTTAAAGAAGAAGGTATGTTTTGGGCTTTATCGTACCCTAAAATATTAACGTTCTTAAAAAGTTATGAAATTAGCTTTAACAATAGTTGAGTAGATGAATCTGATAATCATTAAAGAATATCCCATGAAGGAGGACCCTTCTAGAAATATTACTCTCTAAGTTCATACATTTCTAAGTTTAATGCAGAAAAGCCTCAGAATGGCTCATTTCTGTGCTTATATTCCTTTAGGAAATAGTGTCTGCCACCGTAGCTCGCTTCAATTTTTGGATATTTTATGTAAACTGCTTTAAAAAATCACATACAACAAAATCTTTGTTAGTCAGGCGGCATAGGCAACCTATTGTGCATTTTGTGATAAAAGCACCAATTTTTGTACAAATATAGACATTTATTGTCTAAACAAATCTGGATATTGGGCCATCGCGGAATCATGTCATGGCGGACATGACGGCCATTTTACAAAATGGCCGCCATAGTTTTTCGTTATACTTGAAATTTACTTAAAATTCTCACAATATAAGTGATAATCATGGTATACAGAAAAACAAAAAACACTCTCTTTGTCTTCAAAAAGAAAAAGAAAAAGTTTTAAATGAAATAAAATGGTTATAACATTTCTTTAAAACAAACAAATCCACTTTTTCTTCATTATTTAACATTAAAAGTACATATACTATCTGCTTTATGTGCATACTCTCTATGATTTAAATATGCTTATTTGTGAGCATAATGTCCCTTTGAGAATTTTTTCATTCGTACTATGATGTCATCAGGTGCTGCTGGGCGTGTGGTGCGAGGGGTGTGTGTGCAAAATTATATCTATACTCTGTACAATCTATTCATAAGTGTTGGATCTTTTTTCACAACAGAGCCTTCTTCGACACAAAACTTATATCTATTTTGTCTCATCGTGCACTCGGTTGGAACTAGCATTGTTATTAATTCCTTAATTCACAACTTTAGACTTTAAAACACACGATCTAACCACGTGACACGTGACTAACCCTATGGTTAATTTTAAATGCATGTGCTACTAAGTAATGAAAGAGTTAAAAAGACAACATGTTTATATATGTAAGACATATATTAGGTCCTGGTGACCACAATAAAAGCTTTGACAAAGTTGTTGTTTGTCCTGACTTTCAGTAATCACTTACATGTAGCTCCTTCACATCCACATATGATAGTGCACTTGAGATCTGAAAGTTTGCAACAACACCTTTTTGAATTAGATCCTTTATTTTTCAAGTCACAGTTGCATCTTATTAGTTCATAACAGACTTTCGAGGTTTCCGGCAGTGTTGTCCATTGGGGCTCATACAGACCATCTGTCATAATCCAACCCCACTCAATAGAGGAAAGCAATAATGGATTTAGTTGCAGTACTACCTGTCCCCGTACATGTCCTCCCTGGAAAGTTGCTCGTTTTACATGCTCTAGCACAGCCTTTGTTGGCGGAATTTGTTTCACATCAGGTGTCCTTGCGAAAATCTTTTGCCGAGCTTGGTTTATGTCAGAGCATGTACTGGTCCTGTCATAGAGAAGGATGACAAATCTTCAATGCTTAGCATAACATCGCTTGGTATATTAGTTGGTGGACAAACTAATTTAACAAGCGCGTCAGTGAGCTAAGGTAGGGCCTTCCAAGTTTTCCGTGCAGTTTTTTTTGCCAAGCCCACCAAAGCTGGAAACAGTGTGACATCCAGTCAGCGTATGAAACATTGTATGTGTAAAAGCTTTTCTGTGTCCAAGGCCACGTCCAATTATATGGGCTGCCAAGTGACGGAAATTTTTTCCAGTTCCAAAGGCTATTCAAAGTTCCATCTCTGGGTTCAAAGTTTTTCCATGGACACAGCCAGGACCACAACATCAGTGTTAACAGTGCGGATCAGTATTCTGTTACGGCCTTGGCGAGATGCATGTGCTGTGTGTAACAGCATTCGGCTATCTGCTTCCTCGTGATTACATGGAGAAATCGAAAAGATATCTTGTATTTAGAGCTTTGAAAGAACATTTCTACTATCGGTGATAACTATTTGGTTGACACTTTCATCAAAAGTCGTAATGAGAGATCTTGAGAGGAATCTGTAAAGTTCCGTCTTGTTTCTATCTACTCGAGGAAATCTTGCCAATCTCTAGGTACTGTTGACTCGGCAGTAACACGTACTCGTTTTCTCTTGCCTCGCTTTGCTCTAACGGTACCTTTTAATGAATTGTCTATATATTTTTCCCATACCAGGTTTACACGCGAAGGTCTTAGAAACTGAGGAATATATGGAATGAAGTTCTGATGAGCATAATTTTCTGAGGTCTTAGCAGTAATTGACCTAATATAAGCATTTGAACAACAATTGAACCATTCAAAATTACACAGCTTGTCAATGGAGGCTCAGCTCGCTCCTCGTCAAATTCCTCCAAGCACTGAAGAAGGTCACTCTTGGTTCCAAGATGGATGTTACATGCATCAGAAAGTGAAGGCGGGCATAGTGGATTCGAAAGAATTCTCTAAGGTTACCTTGTCTGTTTTGACAAATTCTAGAGTCACATTACGTTTGAGCTAAGTTACATCCTCTTTCTTTTCAATGAATTTTGAACTGCTTGTATTTTGAATAAGCTTACTCTACTACGATGAATGATATCATTGATTAGTCTTCACCTGTTAATGAGAGATTCTTTGCAAAACTGTGTAAATTTATCAATTCCAACTCTCATTACACATATTACAGCTCTTACTGCAGATTGGTCTGAAAGTTCCTTTGTATCTAGAACTAGAAAATCTTTACATAATTTATCGAAAGGATTGCCAAGGTCATTAATCAGACAAACAAGAGAGTGAATATCTTTAGCAAACGAGACCGTATACTAGGTGTTTGATCATGATGATGGGTATCTTTTGACCCTCTCTTGTCAGATTCTTCACCTTGAAGCTGGCCCAGATATCATCCATTGAAGAAGGATTGGAGGTTATTAGTAAGCAAACCTTGTACATTGATATTCGCGTTATTTTGTTCATTTTAAAAAATCAATAAGAATATGCAGAGAATGTGCCGTTTGGTGTTTTGCACTGTGAAATTTCCATCATTAAATTCTTGATTTAGTTCAGGGTGTTTTGTAGGGAGTTCCTTGAGATGAACAGGAATCCATCTTGCATAATTTGTGTGATCTTAGGCATGGAAAATTCAAAAGTTTAAGGTTTAAATATATCGGAAGTCAAAGAGAAATTCGGCAAAAGTAAATGTTAAACAACTCAAGTTTTTAACAATTATATCCTAGTATTCAATATATATAACTATAGTTTTTAACATATTTAACACAATAAATTTTGATAATTGTGTTACTTTTGATTCAATTTTAATAGCCTTAATTGCCAATATATGTAATTCGTGGTAATTATTAAAAATAGAACAGAGGAAATTCGGATTAGCATATCTTTTTATTTGACTCATGACCATACCAATTTCTGCCCTCCATTACTTAGCTATATATCTCTTATTCAAAATAAAGTTTAGATAATAAATATCCAATTACTTTTAGAGTGGGTTTATAGCCATTTTTGTTCTCAAGGTTCAGAAAAAATGCACAATTTTTAAGAAGACAGAGGAAATTCAGGCTGTCATACAATGTTGTTGGAATGCAATATATATGAGTAAATAATATCAAGATAATCTTGATCTGTTACCCTATTTTATACATGAAAATAAATAAATTCTGATTATAATTTGTAATTTTTTTTATCCTTTTTTTACTGACAGTGGGAATTTTTTCACAGATTTTACATTTTTAAACAAGGGCATATTCAGAGGTTGTTGCCATGGAAACGAGCGCATTAACATATATAATTTTTTATGATTCTTAAACCATAAACTTGTCCTTTATCCGAAGGTAATCATCTTTTAAAATTCCAATTACTTTCACGACAGGTTCGAATCACCTTAACAATAGTTGAGTAGATGAATCTGATAATCATTAAAGAATATCCCATGAAGGAGGACCCTTCTAGAAATATTACTCTCTAAGTTCATACATTTCTAAGTTTAATGCAGAAAAGCCTCAGAATGACTCATTTCTGTGCTTATATTCCTTTAGGAAATAGTGTCTGCCACCGTAGCTCGCTTCAATTTTTTGATATTTTATGTAAACTGCTTTAAAAAATCACATACAACAAAATCTTTGTGGGCGACGGTGGCAGAGTGTGTTTTTTTTTCTCTGAGAAAATTTCAGTAAAAAGTGATGTCTTCTGCAATTTTTTTTTTTAGAAAATACAGGAAAAATACAGGAAAAGTTATTGACGTCAAAATTAGCATTAAGGAGGTCATTTGAGAAGAAACAATTTGTGTATTCTTATTGCATGGAATTCCTTTGATTCAGAAAAATGAATTTTAATTTCTTATATAACTTTCAAAATTTTGCAAAAAAAAAAAAAAAAAAAAAAAAAAAAAAAAAACAAAAAAAAAAAAAAAAAAAAAAAAAAAAACAAAAAAAAAACAAAAAACAAAACAAAAAACAAAACAAAAAAAAAACAGGACTTAATTTGTATTAAAACTGTACATTGTTCTTAGGCAAGATCATTTCTCAATGTTAGACAGACAATCGAAATCATTAAACATACAATGCATTTCCCGTATGTCCAATATGCATATACCTAATTTTTCCTGTTCAGCGTCATCTTAAAGTTTATTGAATACTTAAAGATTCTATCTTTTGTTCATTGCAAGGATTCTTTGCAAATTTATGGGGAAAAAAAACAAACTAAAGTTTGATATCAATCGTTCAAAGTTGCCCTTACTTTTTTTCTACACTATTCATTTTTATCAGACTCCCCAATTATTGCCCCCTATTATATAACATTTTTAAAGTCATATCATGTCAGTGCATATAATAAAATTTCAAGTGACAAATAATTCAAACCTTTTTTAAAACACTAAATAAAATAGATATTAAAACCGGAAAGAGGCAATTTCATAAATCAAGCACTTCCATAGATTCAGCGAGCGTTTGTTTTTTCCTCGAAATTTGACCTTTTAAAACTTTATTTCATGATGGCTTTTAATCTTCTTTATTTCGTATCAGGTAATGCATTAATTTACGCTTTCTCAGTTATCGTTTTCGTTTTCATACTTTTTAAACATGTTTAATATTCAATCTCAACATGTGTGGTGGTTTTGAAATACCGGTATAATCTTTCTGATAAGAACGACAATCTCACTGATCCCTTCTGCCTAAATTAAATACTAGGCCTAGTTTTAACATACACTATAGAACATTAAAAACTACTTATACATATTTTCTTTTTAATATAAAGTTTTTCTATTTATATTGCTTTATGATTTGAAGGACCTGCGAAACATATGAAACAATTTTCATCATATTTTTTTTAATTTCCCAATATGAAAATTAATAGTTCAGAGATAGTTTAAGGATAAGGGAAACATGCCCCTCTTTTACCCTTAAAGTCATACCCACGTTACAATTCAGTTCACGTTCAATATATTCAGCGATATTTTCAAAATTAAGTTCTTCAAGATGTTCTATGTGAGAAATTTAATAAATATTCAACGATTCTTCTTTAATGAAAAAGAGAGCGTAGGTCATGGCAGCCTCGGAAACATAAGTTGACTCATGTTCCTATAAATTTTAAACTGATATAAAAAAGAAACCACAGACAGGTCAAGTAGTTTTATACACGTAAGTATTTATATCCGTTTCTGGTTTAGTGTTTTGTTGAATAAGATGACAAATTTCTACATTAATAGAACGATTATGTTAACCGTGACTAAACGTATTAAGTTGTGTTCCTGAATAAAAAATAGAGAAAATGAACAGTAGTGAAGCTCAAAAGTTTATTTAACACCCAATTTTAAGTTAAAGCCCCAAACATCTGCCCCATTCAAGATCAGTAATTTACTGCCTGTTAATTTTGCAAATACCAATAGCTTCTAATTTGATTTTGATTTTGACCTAAACATCTAAATTTACATCTTTTGAAAACAGTTATTAGGTACACGTCGAACACTTCCATGTACCCGCCTTGTGTACACGCGGGCTACAAAATTCTAATTCTCAAAATAATTGACAATAGGTAAGTAAAACACTAACATTACAAAATATGTGTTTTCAATCTTCACGGCAGAATGGTACTTGAAAGCGATATGTCGTCCTAGTGTCTGTAGACCCCCCGCAGAAACTTTTATTTGCCAATTAAGATAAAAAACATGATATGATAACAAAGAAAAGATATTTAACACAAAGGGCATGGGTTATATAAATTCCCTTCTCGCATGTTTAATCTTTAAAAAATTATATTGATACAATCTACACCTAGTTGTAAAAATAAGTTTGAATTATTACTCGAGTACACGAGTTTCGAGATTGTTAGTTATTGTTCGAATTTCCTCCAAAGGCTTGTCTATCTATATTCGTATTGAAAATGTAAAGAAATAAACAGATCGTGATTTCTTTTAAATTTTAACTTGTGATCGTTTCTTTAATTTTACAAATCTTTAAAGTTAAAGAAATGCATTTCTGTATATATTTTTTTCTTTTTTCAATTTAAGCGTTTGTATCAACCTATGAATTTCATGTTGAAATATTTAGATTTTTCAAGTTGTTTCACTCAAAATTAGACACGAAACAGGTAAGGTTGATCTTCATAACCAAACACAGTTTTCCTGTGTACTGCTACATGTACGTGTATATAGGTTTAAGACATCTTGAATATTGGGGGTCTCCAGGTAAATACCACAATTACTTAGTCCACCCTCCTCCTTCTCAGGTAACTGTCCGGTAAAAAAAAAATAGGTCTTTAAAACAATATATAAATAAGAGGGAAATCAAAGAATGACTTCAAGAAATAATAAAACAATCGAACAAACAAAAAGCATCAATGCTTGATAAGGTGGCATAGATAAGTAAGCATAGCTCTGGCGTGCTTCTTGGTCATATTCATGATCTCATAAACGGAACGAGTGATAAGCATTTATTGCTAGACAAGAGATGGAAGTTGGCGATGAAAACATTGAAGTTGTCACATTCATTATATTTTTTTCTTCTTAGTAACATTACCGTCTTTTTCTTGTTATTTATCAATATATAAAACAAAGGTATTCGACTCGGTGTTTTCATTTTATTTCAAGTTTACTGGGAATAATCAAATTAAAGTATGAATTAAAATTACTATGTTTTTAAAACAATTAATATTATACTTTGTAAATAAATATATATGATGTTTCGGAGGTGGCAGCAAGCGTTTTTTTCTTTTTCTCGTGTTGACTTTTTTGAATGCTTATATGAATCGAAAATTAGGTCTGCTAATGACGCGATTGGTATCTTTGGAGTTTTAACCAGAAAGTCAGAAGACCTGAGGCATGTTTAACAGATCGAACATTCGCGATCGCTCGCCAAAATACTGGTACCTTAAACCTCCCATAGAAATGTTCGCGAGCGCTCGCTCTGTTAAACTGCCACTGATTTCCAAAAGCTACATGCACATACTCGTATAATGTCAATCAAAATCTCTATCAATTTTGTTTTGATATAATCTTCAGAGTACCTTTGTATAAAAATCAAAATGCAAAAGACAAGGTAAGAATATTTTGAAGTAATGAATAAGATGTCAACAATCAGAATGAAGATTTTAATTTTGTAGGCACTGGTAACAAATTACAAGTAAAACTTTTTTTTCTATTTTTTCTAGAAAATCTATTTTTTTTTAATTTCTTGATACATGTAGGTGTATTCTTGTAGATATTAATTTGATACTTTAAAACAAACAATATCATTTGTGTATTTACTAAAACCCTTTGACTTTTATTTAGGTATTACAACTGTTTACCTGGAGTTTTCAGAAACTGTACTTCGGACATTTCCAATTATATCAACGTATACTACCACATATTTGCTATCTTACGGCACTCCAGTGACATCAGGTATCTATAAAATATTTAGGATTAATTCATCTATGCGTTTAGTGTTTTTGAATAAATGTTGGTTCTAGAGACCAATTACTATTGTTTAATAAACCCTTTTTCATTATACATACATGTATTGAAGTCAATCTGGACATCATGTATAGCTTTGCTGGTTGTATATCCCAAAAAGTGGACTTTTCTATTAATCTGTGTTTGTTTAAACATGTATATAGTAAATTAAGTTTCAAAGGAACGTTTATAAATATATCTATGTTTAAAAAACAAAACAAAACAATTCTAACATGTTTTAATATATTTTAGAAGAATCCATGTCGAGAAATTGTCGATTGCCTGGTTATTTATACAAAGGAACTACAAATGTAACAGAATCAGGTTTAACTTGTCAACGATGGGATACGCAGACTCCACACGAGCAAAACTATTTCGTTTTTAGTCTTGCTCAAGAGAACTACTGTAGAAATTTTGACAGAGAAGAACCTTGGTGTTATACGACTAATTCAAGTGTTCGATGGGAACTTTGTAGTGTTGACGTTTGTAGTAAGAGCGCCGAAAATATTTTCCTATTGTATTGATTCTCCTTTTGATTGAACACTTTTGGATTCAGAAAAATTAATATTATATATGCATATCTCATAAACTATATGTACTATATATTGCATATTTTCCTTTGTTGTAGATTCGCCTTGTCTTAATCAATCATTTACAGTAGAAGTAACATCGAAGTGTCTGTCTGAAGAACCAGCCACTGATGAATTCTGCAGGTTAGATAAATTTCCTGTAGTGTTTATTTTATTCATACATTTTATTGAATGTGTATAATTCCTTGTAACTTTACAAACAAAACTATCATTTAACAAACTATGTAGTATCTTATTAAAATCTTTTAGGTTTTTTTTCATCGAAGTAAGAAGAGTCGAGCTTATTAATTAAAGCTAGATCTGTTTTCACATAGTTTCTTTTCTGAAGAAGGACATGTTGAAAGGCTATTCATATTTACATTTATTAACTCTATATTTCATTTCAATAACCGATGCCAACGATAAATTTAAGTTCCGACTTTCTTATATCAATGTCAGATGACTTTTTTTTAATAAAAGGTGAATTTGTGAATTTACGTACTACCTTGCCATTGTCGTTGCCTATTTGAAAAAGAAAATGCACACATATCTACCTTGAAGCTTATAATAAAAGATGCTTTAGTTTTTTGATTAAAATATCTATATAGGTTTTTGAGAGCTCATTTATCGTTATTCTGTCGCTATGTCCATTGGTACTTATGGTGATTTATTACTAGCAGACCTTTTTTATTCATGTGAAAGAGAATTTATTCAAAATCTTACACCTGGCAAAAAGAAATCACTTGGCTCAATAAGAAATACTGATATAATAAGCAACGTATTATCAATACCAAACACAATATATCAAATGCCGACTGAATGACGATAGATGTTTTTGATATTAATTGGTAAGATATTTATATACACTGAATTGTCTTAAAATGCCCCAATATCGAAATGATGAAAAACAGCATGCGACGGTAACCTCTTTCTTCTTGATAATACCAAAACGTTGTGTTTAGAATTCTTACAATATTTAGACAAGAATCATAAATGTAAGAATTTTTTGTCATAACATGGAAAATAAAATGACTTTAAGGACAGATGATACAAACATTTTTTTCTTTGGAGTAGGCTTAATACATGTATCATGTCACATTGTTTTCAAAATGTTTTTAGAAAAGTTTATAATTCTAAGGGTTATATAAGAAATATTTTTCTGCCTATGAATTTTTTGTTAGGATACTTGTTGAGACAAATTCTTAAGAACAATTATATATTTTAGAGGAACGTGTCGTCTGACCTTAATACATGTATCATGTCACAAGTTTAGAAAAGTTTATAATTCTTTGATTTTTTTCTCCTATGAACTAGGAAATGAAATAGACTTGGAAAATATTAGTAATATTTCCAAAAATTCAAAACAAATATAGACAAATCACACTCTGAGGAAAAACAAAATGACAAAAAATCAGCAATACTACATAGACTAAATTTGACCATTTTACTTTTCCTAATAAAATTCACCTGGCTTGGTTTATTGTTCTTTAGTTTATATTACACTTTTAGCGCCAAGATAACATATTCTGAAATTTGTTTTCACCTGTAAACCGTTACTGATTGTGCTATGTCTATTTTTGTTTTTTTATTGAACTATTACTATTTTCGAAGTCTATTTCATTTTCCAGTTCTTAGGAGAAAATATTCTTAGAATGATCCACATTTTTTTTTAAACTTGTGACATGATATTGTCTCCTCCAAGGAAAAAAAATGATTGTATCATCTCTCCTTACGACAAGTTTGTACGTGAAATAACGTTTGAATGATTTTTTCTTAAAAAGAAACTATCGTTATCGTGAGGTAATGGGGTATTGTTGACAGTTTGAAGAGCCGAATTTTTTCTGTTTTAGAAGAAATTATCGTTATCATTTCAGGTGGATAGTGGTTATCATTAAATGTATAAAGAGACGGATCGAAAATTCTTCTGGTATTCTGTGTTCTGGTATTGAACCAAAATCTATTGCTCTGCACAATCAAAACACCATAGAGGGCTTAATTGGAAAGTCTATCTCTCAATGTAAGTGATCCTTATCAAATCCAAATGCTTTTTATGCATGTTCCTCTAAATATCTTTATCTTATTATGCATTGAAATTCATTTTGTTGCACAAATCTAACCCAAAGAGGTAGCTTAGATTGATTGATTGATTGTATATTGTTTAAAGTCCCTATCGAAAATTTTCACTCATATAGAGACGTCACCGTATGCCAGTGAATGGCTTCAAATTTTGACCTTTACTCGGCACTCAGGGCCATTGAGCAGTGAGGGATCTTTATCGTGCAAACGCCTGCCACTGACACGGGGCCTCGGTTTTTAGGGTCTCATCCGAAGGACCCGCAACTTTCACTTCAAAGTGCCGAGCGCATGGCGAAGGAACAGTTGCTACCAATTTTATCGACTAGGTCAGTCGCAGCCGAGATACGAACTCACGACCTCCCGATCACGGAGCGAGCGCTCTACCGACTGAGCTACAGTGAACGGTAGCTACCTTAGAGGGAAGTTTTCAAATGCACAATGTACTAAATAATTTGATAACCTACCAAACGTTGGAAAATAAATTGAATAAAATGAATAAATAATTTTCAAGACTTAATACGAAAGGTAATTTATCAAATTTCCCATTGCCATCTCAACACAACACTTGTAGGATTTTAGTAACGCTTATAATATATTTGTCGCCATTTTAAAAGAAAAAAATGTTTATATGTAAAAATAAACATCGTAAGTTGATATGTAAAAAGATAAGTGACAATAAATACATGCCTTTTACATTTTATTTTAAAAATTAATATATCGCATCTTACTAACAAAATATTTTTCACTAAGATTGTAGGGTATTATCTTATAGGAT